AGCAACCAGGCTCGAGGTTAATAACTTCAAACGGGTTGCATGAGAGGAAGGTGTCCACAGTAGCAGCTGCAGTAGTTAACATTGGCCAAACAACTCTCTTAAGGTGAATGCATCATGGAAAGCTCATGTTTCACTGAAGGCTTCCCAGATGTAAATACATTACAGTACCTTGGTAAAATTGATCTGGATTTCAGTGACTGGGTAAGGCCTCCCCGGGCCTCCTGTGATCGATATGTAACATAAATACCATTAATACTTCTACCTAGACACTACTGTGAAAGGAAAGGCCAAAGCATTTTCTTTGGTTGTTAACTGGTAGGTTGGTCATCTTTGGGTAAGTTTCTTCTACCTTGTTTTAAAAACAAGATAGTTGAAACTGTCATTTCTGTTATACTACTCGGTAGGTACAGGAGGGTTTCAGAAAAGCTGCTGCTGCTCTGATAATAAATATAAATGGAGGGTCAAGAAATCCTGCCATAAAATACTATCTGTTTCCAACTCTGTTTACAGATGTAGAAAAAATATTCCAGTTATAAGTTCACTACTTCTATTTGAACATTAAATTTGCCTAGCGTTTTAACAGGATGCCCTCTTATGGAAGTTCAGATACTTTTTGAAACTTCCTTCCATACATTATACAACAGTGTTGGATTTTTCTTTACCAAGTCTCCACTTAACAGATGAGGTTGTGCACTTGTGTCAACTAACAACCGACATTCTATACCTTCTATTTTTACAGTAACTATTGGCGTAACTTCGTTAACACTATAATGCTCAACCTTTTATTTCATACCACCAGAACTACCTCTAATTTCCCTCCAGAATTCAGGCTGGAATTACTATTTTTGCTCCACTAGAAAACATTGGTTTTCCAGTATTTTTCGTGAAAGTTTTCTTTAAAGTTCCTGCACCTGCCCATCTATCAGTTCTATGTCGTGCACCCTTTTCCATTTTAATTTCTTCAGCAGCAGTAGCCATATTTACTTCGTTTAATACTACTTATACTAATTTATTTTATAGAATATTCGACTTATTTTCCTTATTCTTTACAACCTGTTGTTGGTTACTCCCAAATTCTGGTGCACTGTGCCAATTTGTCACAGGTTCTGTCTCTGTGTGCCCAAACCATGGCTTCTTATACTTGATTAATATGGTGTTAGCATCATTCTAAGTAGAACCAAACCCTAACCACAGCAACTGTTTCT